CCAGCCACTCTGCTCCCTGTGAAGTGGGGGTACAGGCGGGCCTGGGGAGTACCATCTCAGCACCCATCCCTTGCCTGCGGGACCTGGTGTGGGACTTCGCTCACCCCTTCCGCCACCCACCTGGGCAGTGGGAGGGCAGGTCGCCGTTAGTGTCCTGGCGCCGAGTCTGGCTAATTGTGCCAGGCGCGTTGCTGTGGCCCCTGCTGCGTGCACTTGGTTCCCGGCCCTGGGCCGCGCTAGCGTGGCCGGCACCGTGGTAGCCAGCACCGTGGTAGCCGGCACCGGGGAGGGAAGCAGCAGGGGCTCAGGAGGCCAGCTCCAGGGCCCGGTCCCCACCCCTTCGCCCGCCCTGTCCCTGCTCGCCCTGCTGGCCCCCGGGCTGGCATGGGGGGGGGCCAGGCGTGCAGCCTGCAGCTCTGGCCAAGGGCGTCCCCCGAGGTGGCTCCACTCCACCGGGGTACAGCGTCAGACCTCAGTGTCCCACCGGTAACCAAGGACGAAGCGAGCGCACAGCCTGCCGTGAGGTGGTGACCGAGGCCAGTGTGAGGGTGAAGGGACGGCAGGGGCCTGTGGGAGAGTCTGGGTCAGGGACAGACAGCGTGGCTCCTGCTGGCCGCCCATAGCTGGGGAGAGCAGGGCCTGGGTCGGACAGGTTCAAAGGCTTGTCTGGGCCCCAGGGCAGGGCTAGCACTGCGGAGATGAAAGGGAGCCGCCCAGGGAGACCGGGGGACAGAGTCCCAGCAGGTGCGCACCGCGGTCCTGGCTGGGCTCAGAGATGACACGCCTGAGGACAGGCGAGGCGCCCCTTCGCACACTGTCCCCGCCTGTAATGGAGGACAGTGACTGCCCCTTTCCTGCTTCCGGGGTCACTGCGAAGGTCAGAGCAAATGAGGTACCATCAGATGTCCCCCAGGTGGGAACATGGCTGCTGGCTGCTCTGGTGTGTGCAGGTGGGAGGGGGCGCTTCACGGCCCCCATGGCCTCCGCCTGGACACGTGCTCCGGGCAGCCCTGAGAACCACACCGGCGTTACTACAGTGACCAGGCGTCTGCTCAGAACTTCACCCTCATCGTCATGCGACCCCTACGGCAGCCCAGGTGGGGCGTCACCCACATTAGGTCCCTCGGAAGCCCGCGCCCACTGCTCCCGGTGCTAACAGTAGCTGACCCCGCGAGTGGGCTGTGCTTATCGCTTGGGAACCTCCACACACCAACCATTGCACGCGTCGGCCAGCTCGGAAGGTGGATAGAGCTGTGAAAGGAGGAGCCAGGATTTGAACCAGGTTCTTAAGTCTCCTCGTGCTCAGCTCAGTGGTAACGCGGTAGCTGTACCGTGAGGCCCCTCCTGACTGCACTGTAGGCTGCACGCAGGCAGGCCTGTGGGGTCTTCAGACCGGACGCCCAGTCCCTGGTGCTCCGTGGGTTTCCACAAGGACTCTGCTGCCTCTGGGGCGGGTGCTGGGAGGCCTGGTGAGCTCCAGGGCCTGGCAGCTCACTGCTGATCTGGGGGCTCTGCCCGGCGGGCCAGGGCGGGCTGCAGGGCTGTGTGCTGGTTGCTGTGTCTCACTACTGTCCTTTGCTTCCATGTTCCATGGGCGATGGCTCCGCGACCTCTCCCCGACTGGCTGCGTGACCCCCACGGCTGCTTCTGGGTGAGTACTGGTTTGCTGTAATGACCACCATGCGAGCCCCACGCTCTGATGTCCAGTGGCTCCGAGGCCCTGGGCGGTGTGAAAGGGAGGCCCGGCGCGGGGGCGGAAGTGGAGAGGGCCTCTCCCGAAGCTAAAACATCAAGTGACTTGGCCACATTTGCAACGCATAGGGCCTTGGGGCCGCCTGGGACAGGGTCCTTGTTTGCCACTCACAGCAGGACACGGTCTGCATCTCAGTCCATGTCTGTAAAACGCCATGTCCACACCCCCGGACACTGTGCACGCGCCCTCTCACGCAGGGAGGCCCACAGGGGCAGGGAGTCCTGCGCTCTGTCCCCTGGGGCGTCTGCCGCACCTGGATGCTGGCGCACGGCAAGGGCTCAGTCTGGGTCAACGCGGGTCCCCCGCCCCTCGCAGTGGTCTGTGCTGGAGTAAGAGGCTGAGGGCTGGCTGAGCCGCAGTCCCGGGGCTCGGTGAGCCGCA